ACTTGGAATGTGGGTGACTTTCAAGTTGTCTTGGAAGGGTTAGTGGGAGTTGACTAGAGTGATGGGGGCGAGTTAACTGTTGTTATCATGTGGGTTGTCGGAAGTGAAAACGCATGCTAGTCGTTGGGATACACAAGGCCTTGTAGAGGATGATTTGAGGGTAATGTGGTAAAGTTTTAGCGAATGACGATGTTGCGAATGCATGGTTTACCTTGTAATGAAAGTGGATGTATCGGTGTTGTGGCCTCGTGGGCAATGGACGTGGCGGTTAAGTCCCTACCGGATGTTAAAGCTCCGGGGGTAAAAGGCCTTGGAGATAAATGACAAGGCCAGACACCAAGTTTTCTATAAAGAAGTATTGGGGCCTTGGGGATAAATGTCAAGGACCAATACACTGGTAGCCATCGGTACCTTGGGGATAAACGACAAGGCCGAATATCAAGTTCTGTAGAAGAGTATTGGGGTCTTGGGGATAAATGTCAAGAACCAATACGTCGAGTAGTCATTGGTACTTTGGGGATAAATGTCAAGGACTGGTGCGCAGTTCAAGGCATTGGGGATAAACAGCAAGGTCGAACGCCAAGCTTTTTAGAGGGAGGTCAGTATCTTGGGGGATAAATGTCAAGGTCCGATACACCTCGAAGAGTTAGACTTGGAGTACTAAGGTAAAGGGTAGAACAAATTTTAGCTCGAGTGGGTCACGGGTTAGTGGGTCGTGTAGTCGAAGTCTTGGAAGTCTGGGTGTTTGGATGCTTATATGGTAATGTTAATCTACTGTTATCATCTCTTGTTGCCTGGTGGTTTGTTTTGCTATTGTGTTTAATGTCGCTGTGATTACGAGCATGCTGTTGTGATTAGTTAGGGAGGGCTACTTACGGAGTATTTTATATACTCACCCCCTCTACCTTAATTGTTTCAGGTGCGAACAGGGCCTCCGACCGTGGTGATGATGTGGAAGAGGCTTGACTGAGGAGGGATCACTAGTTGTGTTGGCTAGGATGGTGGAAACTGCCGTTCATTGCGAGTAGCGTGAGAAACTTATAATTAGAGGTGTACGAGACATTGGGTTGACTCACGAAATGTTTTCTTTTTCTTTATTCATTCTTAGTAGGCGAACTAATGTCTTCCGGTTATTGTTAGTATTTGAGCCACTGATGCACTCTGGATTACTGGACTAAATGATTGTTTTTCTTTTAATTTTTTTTTGTGGGATTGCTAGCCACTGAGGCGGGCACGAACTTGTAGGAATTGATTGTTTTGTGAGTCTCTGATTATCTTTAAGGTAACTGTTTCATGTCTTTGTATTGAAGGGTGAAGGAACAGGGGAATGATCATATTATTTCGATATTTTAGGATGTAGTTTCGAGGGCATTACACTTTATGTTGCCTTAATGGGAGGGGGGAAGTGAATAGGTAATATAGTGACGTCATCTTGTTAAGTAGTGAAAATTTTGGGGGCGTCACAAAAAGAGTCTGGCAGGAAAAGGAAAGCGAGCGTGCGGGAAGCAAGAACAGGCCTAGGGTATTATGAAGTCTACCATGTAGCTTTTGCAGGGCGACCTTCAAAAATCGAGTTTTCAGAGGATGAGACAGACCACCTCTCCACCCACACAATGACGCATTGGTTATTGCCTTACAAATAGCCAATATGAAGGTGCATCGAATCCTGGTGGATGGGGGTAGCTCGGTCGACGTCATCTTCTTGACAACTTATAAGGCTATGAAGTTAGGAGAAAGAGTGTTTAAAAGCAGTCATGCACCACTAGTGGGATTTGGGGGAGAACAGATAATCTCGGAGGGTAGGATAGAATTGCCAGTAACGTTTGGAAGTGGGCCAAGGAGCATCACTAAAATAGTAGAATTCCTCATCGTTGACTACCCATCTTCCTATAATGCAATATTAGGGAGGCCGACCATACACACACTCAAGGCGATACCCTCTACATATCATCAATCTAAGAAATTCCCAACACCTAGAGGTATAGGTGAAGTCAAAGGGGAGCAGCGGGTGTCAGGTGAGTGCTACTACACCTCGTTAAGAGGCCACGACACAGGAATCGGGACCTCTACTTCGGAATGATCACTGCTACTTTGTTGACCAATAAAATAGGGTTCACGGTAGATGCAACTTTTTAAGGTTGTCTTTTGTTTTTCTCTTTTCCTATGGTTCTGTTATTTGATTCTAAATTTGTCTTGGTTCAATAAAATTTCTATTATCTACTTGAGCAACCACTGTCACTTATTTCCATGGACTCCTCAAGTAAGGGGCATGATAATATATGGATCAACAGAATGTGGAAGAACAATTAAAGATCTCGATCAAGACTAAAAGCCAAACGACGACGAGAATAACGTGTGTAAAACCACTGACCATAGCCAACGAGTTAGAAACCTACGAAAATTAAAGGCAGGTGATTACGCTTGTTTACATGCGTAAAAAGAAGGTTTTAGATGCTGTTTTTACTATGTTTCAGCTTTGTTTCGGACTTTTTCTCGATCGTTTGAGTTCCAATTCATGCAAAATTCATATACTATGGTTTGTGGATGGCTTATGTTGTATTTATGACATTTTAGGACCATTTGGGAGTGCAAATTAATCAAAAGAAGCGAAAAGACGAAAAAACACCTTGGGAGGCGCCAGGCGCCTGGGATGCCTGCAGAAGAACTGGTTTTCTTCCAACTTTGCCCTTAATGAAACGCGTCTTCCCATGCGTTTTGGTGGTTCCAACCGATGCATACGTGTAGAAGAAGTGTTCCACTATCAGTTTGAGCACGATTTGGTCAGTCAAAGGAGTTGGAAATGGGTGATTCACCATCRTTTTAGGACCTACCTAACCAATTCTGCACAGCTATAAATTCCAGCAACTTCTCCACCAAATTCATCAAGCCTTGCTTCCTTCTCTTGATCATTTTTAGTGTTTCTTTGTTGCTTTCTAAGTACTTTTGAGTTGCTTTCATTAGTTGCTTTTGGTTTTTAAATCCCGAGCACTTTACATTCTTTTATT